TCCATAACGTGGCTGTCATTGACTTCCTCATCCTTCTCCTCACATTCCCATCCGCCCTCCTCTTCCTGGTGGAGGACGTGTCCTGCTCTCCTATCCTGCCCCTGGTGTACCTGCGTTTCCTTTTCCGACTGTCAGTGTTCTCCTGCTACTGGGTGCCGTTCTGGGTGACATCTTTCAGCATTGCGGTGGGTATCCAAATGCTCTTGGAGCTCTTCTGCCAACGTGACCTTCCTGAGGAACTGTATGTTCTGGTGATGAGTGTCCAGTTTTGGGCTTTCTCTGCTCTCCTCAGTGAGGCTCCCACAGTGACACTCCTGTGCCCAGCCAACGAGCAGGAGCACTGCCGGGCAGCCCTCATTGCTGTGTGGGCCATCATCCTGCTCCTCTTTGTTGTACCCATGACTGTGCTGGTAATTTACAGCACAATTGCTTTGATTAAGGCCAGGTGTGGCTCCCAGCAGAAGCAACCCAAGGGAAGGGACATTGTTATTGTCTTCACTGGTCCCTTCACTCTCCTTTTCCTCCTCTGGAATTTCCTGCAGGAGCTTGGTTACATTGTTGTGCCCTCCCATTTTTTTTTCCTGCTCACCTGCATCTATAGCAGCATCAAGCCCTTCATCTACTTCTTGGCAGGGAGGTGCTGGAGGTCCTGCTCTGTGGAGTCCCTCCGGCTCTCCCTCCAGAGGGTCTTTGAGGACCTAGAATAAAACGTTGCCCACAGCAATGATCCTGCCTTGGACACTGGGGTCTGAGCCTGTTGATCCCTTGCACTGCACTGCTGAAGGACCCTGGGACAGTGGCTGAGAGATTCCTTGAGTCTCCTGGTCAGTAAATGCCCACAGTGTCACCCTCCCTGTGCTGGGGCATCCCCAGCCCCTTTCCAGGCCGCTCTGGGCTCTGATCCGTGCTTGTGAGGCCTCAGCCTTGAGGAGCAGCCCCTGGGCTCAGCTGCTCTGGCGCTGATCAGAAACACCCTCTGCTCCCAGGAGCTGCTGCTGTCCAACCACCTCCTGGGCCTTTATCAACAGCCTTGGGAATTGTTTTCCTTCCCTGAAGGCCACAGCATCCCTGCTCTCCCACTTTCCCAGAGAGCTGCCTGCCCGAAGGGTGGCCAGGGTGAAACATTGCTGTGAGTGACGCCCATCCCTTGGGGCCTGTGAGCAGCGGCCCAAAAGGAGACCCTTGGAGCTCTCCTGGGCCCAGCAGCGCTGAGCAGAAGCTCCCTGGGAGTGGGGCCTCTCCGAGCTGGGATCTCTCCCGTCTGCTGCCCTCGGCTGATCCCCGAACGCCGACGGCTCCTGGGCCGATCCCCCAGTGCTCCAGGCCCAGCCCTTGGCCCAGTGAGGAGATGCAGAGGGATCCCCAGGGAGCATTTCACTGCCTGCCAGGGGAATTTCTCACAGGGACCTTGCACTGACTCTTTCTGCCTCTGTGCACACACGTGTGCAGCTGCTGTGGCAAATGTGGCACAAATGCTGCTCTCTCAGGCGTGTTAGTGCCTGAGACATCTGAGTGGGTCAGGCCTGAAAGGAAGTATCAGGCATAAATAAGGATAAATGGTGCTAAGTGATATTTCTCTGCTGAATTGCTAAGATTAATGTATAACTGAAGCACTTCTAAGTTTGAGCGCTATAAAGGTTTTGGGCCATTTTCCTTTAAATCCTTACCCTCACTGTCCTTTTTTCTCCGGCCCTTGAACACACACACAAACACACACACAGGGACAGCACTTTGGTGTGCTCTTGCTTAATATTAAACCTGGTTTTTACTGATATCCTTGCTGCTGGTTTTGTGCCTTCAGAAATTCTCCCTCTGCCCTGGCTTTGGCCTCTCCCTCAGCAGGCTCGGATGGTGCAGCTGCAAGGGGAGGGGGAGTCCATGGTCCTCAGCACAGCCACCCCCTTCCAGGAGCAGGGTGACATCTGTGTTTGTCACCGTTGTCTCCACGGGGCATCAATCCCCACCCTGTGGCTTTGCTGAGGTCTCTGAGATTGGGATGTTCAGCCTGGAGAAGGGAAGGCTTCAGGGAGACCTTAGAGCCCCTTCCAGAGCCTAAAGAGGCTCCAAGAACTGGAGAGGCGCTTTGGACAAAGGCCTGGAGTGACAGGACAAGGGGGAATGGCTTTCCACTGCCAGAGCACAGGTTGAAGTGGAATATTGGCAAGAAATTCTTCCCTGTGAGGGTGGACAGGCCCTGGCACAGGTTTCTACAGATGCTCTGGCCTCCCCATCGCTGGAGGTGTTCCAGGCCTGGCTGGATGGGGTTTGAAGCAATCTGACCTGATGGAATTTCTCACAGGGACGGAAGATGGAAGGTGTCTCTGCTTTCAAAGGGGTGAGATCAGGAAAAAACAACCACAAGTATTCCCAGGACTGAGGAGGGGGAGAACGATGAGCTCTGGTGAAGGGCTGGAAGGGGCACCACAGCACCCCAAAATCTGGTCCCCTATTGCTTTTTGTTGCATCATCAATAGTACTGGCAGTAAGAAATGTGGGCTCTGATGCTGATAACCTGGCTGCAAGCCTGTCGTGGTTTGGCTCTGGCCAAACACCAGGCACCCGGGAAAGCTGTTTGCTCACCTTCTCTTGCTGTCAGCTGGGGGAGGAGAGGGAAACAAAAATTAACAACGGGCTCATGAATTGAGATGGGGACCGGGAGAAAATAACACTCCAAGAATAGAAAAAAACAGGTTCAAAATAAATTGTATTAAGTAAATGTATTATTAGGAGATTCAGAGGATGATAATGAGAAGTAAAATAAAACTTAAAACACCTTTCTTTCCCCCAGCCCCTCCCTCCTTCCCACTGACAGTGCAGGGAGACATGGCGTGGGGGTTTTGGTCAGTTCATCACTTGAGATCTTTTCTGTTCGCTGAGGGAGAGGAGTTGTTTTGTGCTAGGTCATGGGGTCTCTCCCACGGGAGACAGTTCTCCATGAACTTCCTCCGTGTGGCTCTAATCTCACCAGCAGCAGTCCTGACAAAACCGTTGCAACGTGAGTCCCCCCCAGGAGTAAACAGTCTCCTCCAAACTGTTATGGCTTGGGTCACTCTTCCACGGGGTGCAGTCCTCCAAAGACAGGCAGCTCCACTTTGGAAGCAAGGGACCTCTCTCTATCTCTCTCTCTCTGCTCGGGTCTTGCCCTCCACAAGGTTTTTCCTGGGCCACACCAGGATGGCAGCGGCCGCGGCGCGTCACCGCTCACCACACCGGGATGGCCCCAGCAGCGATGCCTCGCCATCCCTGGTAAAAACTGCGTGGGTGCTGCTTTGATTTTCTTCTGAAATACGGTATCGCAGAGGCGTTACCAACCTCTCCGATTGGGCCAGCAGCATGTCCATCTTCAGAGCCATCAGAAACTGGATCTGGCAGACATGGTGGAAGCTTCCAGCAGCTTCCAACAGGAACCCATTTCTGTGGCCCTGCTACCAAAAAACCGGGCTGTGCCAAATCAACACAAAGCAACTGTTTGCTCTGTTTCCCTTGGGCAGTGTGAGCCTGCATTTGAATGAAAAAAATGGGAATTCTTGGCTCAGCTCACTTTCCTTGGGCCCAGGGCAGCTTTTGGCAATGATCCCAGATCTCTTGCCAGCAAGGGAGTTGTTTCTGACAAGCAGCCCAATGCTCCACCTGCTCTGGCAGCACTGGCACCATTCCGGTGCCACCTGCACCACCAGCATCCCTCTGCTGCTGGAGGGACCATGACCCCTCCTGAAAGAGAAATGAGAAATGGCAGAAACCTGTCAGGTGAGAGAAGGCAGTCAGAGAACGGGACATTGTCCAGGGAAGGAGTGTTTCTAATCACGAGGAAAAGATGACCCATTCTATTCTTCAAGTGGAGATTTGACTAAACTCACTTCCTTGATAGCTAAAAAGCCCAAAAACTCTAGTGGAGCCAAATATGCAATTTCCTACTTCTCTGTGGACCCACCATGTCTTTGGCAAACAACAGCGGGATACGGAGAGGAGAGAGCCAGCAGGATGGGAATGGGGAGCTCCTGGTGATCTGGGCACTTTCTCCTTCATGTCACTGACCTGCCAGGAGCCACTTTAGGATATGGATCCCAAAGGAGCAAGAGGTACCAGGAAGCGCCGCTGATCTGCACAGACCCCTTTGCCTGCTGCTGCCCCACAGGGAACAGGTCAGTGGAATGGTTTCCTTCCTCCCTACCCCACCTTCCTCTCCTCCAGCAGCATCTGCTCTGTTCCTGCCATCCTATCATGATGACTGCAGTGCCATCCCCAGGTCATGCCTCTTCTACCCTGAGTTTCCTCCCACATCCCCTGCTGAACAGCCCAGCCCCACCACCTCCCTCTCCCAACTCAGAATTTCCACCGCCCTTCTCCCCTGCACATCTCACTCCTCCCCAATGAATCCTCCCCTCTGCCAGGAGCTGCTATGCCTCTCCTACCCTGAGTTTCCTCCCACATCCCCTGCTGAACAGCCCAACCCCACCACCTCCCTCTCCCAACCCACAATTCCCACTGCCCTCCTCCTCTGCACATCTCACTCCTCCCCAATGAATCCTCCCCTCTGCCACGAGCTGCTGAGGACCCTCATGGTCCATCCCTGGATTCCCCAAGCACTGACTGCCCATCCACTCTGACTGCAGCCAGGAGCCACATCCCACTGCCTGCCCAGTGTCCATCCATGGAGGTGACCATTGTGTTCCCATCTTCCACCTCACTCACTGGAGGAGATGATCTGTGTGAGACAGATGTCACCAGTGTGGCCACACACAGGCTCATCTGCCTCTGTGGGCTGGCTGGAAACGGGGCTGTCATCATCCTCCTCAGCCTGAAAATCTGTAACGCTGGCATCTTTGACCTGGGTGTTGCCAACTTCCTCTGCCTCCTCTTTGTGGTCCCCTCCGACCTCCTCATTTTGGTGGAGGACATGTCCTGCTCTCCTATCCTGCCCCTGATGTACATGAACTTCAATTTACAGCTGTCCATGGTCTCCTGCTACTGGGTGCTGATGCGCAGCAGGAATGGGCTGAATATCCACTTCTGCAAGCTCTGCTGCCACTTTGACCTTCCTCTGTGACTGGTGTGGGTGGTGGACAGTGTCCAACACTGGGCCTTCTTTGCTCTCTTCACTGTCATTCCCACGGTGACATTCCTGTGCCCATCACATGAGCAGGAGCACAGCTGGGCAGCTCTCATCTCTCTCATCACCCTCCCCCTCTTTGTTGCACCCGTGGTCATTTCCCACACAATCCTCCTCATCAAGGCCAAGTAGGGCTCCCAGCAGCAGCAACCCAAGAGGTGTGACATCGTCATTGTCCTCATTGTGCTCTTCACTCTCCTACTCATCCTCTGGAATTTTTTGCAGCAGTTTGGTTACATCATTGTCTCCTCACAGGTTGTTTCCTGCTCACCTGTATCAACATCAGCATCAAACCCTTCCTCTGCTTCTTGGCAGGGAAGTGCTGGAGGCCCTGCTCCAGCAGATGGGGTCCATCCTCCTCTCACTCCTGAGAGTCTTTGAGGACCAAAAAAAAGAAAAAAAAAATGCAGAAATTGTGCCCCCAGGGACACGGGGGTCTGAGCCGGTTTATCCCTTCCTCTGCTCTGCTGAAGGACCTCAGCACAGAGGCTGAGGGTTTCTTTGAATCACCTGATGAATAAATCTCCACAGGATCACCCTCCCTGTGGTGTTGTATTCCTGCAGGAGAAGGGAGCATGGGCATTGCCTTGGGTGATTGTTGTGGGATGCTCTGCAGGGAGCACATTGGAGCATGGCTTTCCTCCTCCCTCCTGGATCCACATGGCTCCAAGCAGTGCAGCTGGGCTCAGTGCTGTTCCCCAGCTCTATTCCCCATGGAATGACCCTCATGGCCTCGGCCCCAGGGAATGAACTCCATCTCCTTTGGCTCAGCAGATGAGTTTCATGGTGCTTTCAGGGAGCTCTTGCCTGCAAAGCATGGGACACCTTAATCCCTGGGGACACACCCAGCATGGGGTGGCAGTGATTTCCCAAATCCCTGCATGTCTGGTGCCTCTCGATGGCAGGAGAGGAGTTGGGATCACAGGGAGCATCTGTCATTTTTTTTTGAAGTTTTTTTTAAGCTTTGGAGTTTTTCTAACGTGAGTACTATGTTCATGTTGAAAGCTGTTATGCTGATCTCTGACCACTGCGGGGAGTCCAAGCCCGAAGCGCTGCACAAGCTCCGGGAGGGCGGGACGGAGGAGGAGCTGTGTTGGAAAAGCGGAACATGTGGGGGATGGATTACCAGGGGAGTGGCTTAGCAAGCGGGTAGAAAGCCTTTTACGATTTTGGGCAGTGTGCCTCTGGCCGTGCCTCTGGCTGCGAGTGGGCACCGAGCACTGTTCCTTTTACCTTGTCCCTTGTTATAGTTTAATAAACTTCTAAAAATTTTAAGAAGCGAGGCGTCGTCTGTCACAAGAAAGAAAAAGACCACTTGATTCATAGGAAAAAAAAAACTAACCCAAGAACCCATGGCTTGTGCTCCCTGGAGGAACAGTGATCCCGAGTGCCCAGAGCTGGGCTGGCAGCGGCACAGCCGGCACGGACACGATGGCCCAGGGGCTCAGCATTGCCCCCCGAGTGCTCCGAGGTGTCACAGCAGAGATGTCCCTGCTCCCGGCTGGAGTGGGGCTGCCGGGGAGGGGAAGGGTGTATTGGAGGGGGCGGGAGGCGCCAGGAAGGATCTGGATGCTGCCGATCTCAAATGTCCCTACTGGAGAGCAGCAGAGCCAGAAGGGCAGAGCTTCAGCCCGGGGAGCAGCCATGGCATGGCTTGGGATGGGATGGCATGGCATGTGGGGTAGTGATGGGCTTAGGAAGTAATTAACAAGGGGCTGAAATAAACTTTCAATCACATTGGGAAGAATTAGGAAGCAGGAATTCTTTACCTCCACAGCACACACAGAAGATCTCCCCTTGTTCTGTGTGTGGTGAGACATTACAACAGGGGCTTTATCCATCAAAACCACACACACTCACAAAAGTGTGTTTCTTATCTAATACACAAACATCACTTTCCTAGAACTAATTTGCATGCATCCTCCTCCTACGTGGGAGTCCTTTCCTGGCCCTGGAGGATCATTCAGAGGGGTCTCTGGTGGTCGTATGCCCCGAGTGCTGAGATGTTAAAGGTGACCCTGCCTTGAACTTTTCCTTTGGCCATGCACTGTTGCTTCTTTTTACAGAACTTGCTCCAAAACCACTGCAGACCTCCTAATCTGTTTCTTCACTGGCTCCAGCCACATTTATCATCCTGTGTGATCCTGAGAAGCA